ATATAATGTGGATGATTTTTATATTTTATATTTCCAAAAACAAGCTGGTAGATCGCACGCTACACCAGAAACTAGCTGGTAGATCGCACGCTACACCAGAAACGAGCTGGTAGATCACACGCTACACTAGCACCGATGAATGTATTGATTTTATAATGATGTGGTTTTTTTGTTTTATTTCTTATTTTATTTTTGTATCTGTCATCACCTTTAAGGACAGTAAAAATGCTTAGATTTTCTTCAACAGCATCTTTTTTGATAGGAAAGTGAATCTATAGTTGGTACTTTGGATGGTCAAAAGTAAAAATTTCCCAGTAGTTTTCAAAATCTTCGTGAAAAACAAAAGAAACAAAAAAAGGAAAAACGGGAATTTTTATTCAAAAATCTGTTTTTAAGAAAATTGATTTTGATTTTTGGTGCAACTCTATTAATTATCGTAGGTACATGAAAATTATACTGAATGTTTATATTTTCATTTTCTACACACCAAAAAATTTTGAAAATATTATGACTCTTTTTGAGCTGTTTACATTGTCAGTTTTCAATTTTTTTAGTTTCTTTTTCTATAAATATCAATAAAAATTTATTTGTTGGGTAAAAAAGCGTGCAGCTAATGTATTGCAAGGCTCCTGAATCCTGATATATTATTACAAAGCAGTTGAAAAACTTTGAAAAGACATAGGCACAATTTTATAAGCGTTTAACGTTTGAATTTTGACAAAATGTATCAAATTTAAAATTTAAAAATTATTTTTATTTAAAAATGTATAAAATATTAAAATAATAAAATGTATAAATTACTTAATTCACAATAATATCATCAAATATACTTATTAATATCATATTCAGTGATCTGATTATAATAAAATAATATAGAACATAGAAAGAGAAAATCTAATATTATTATCGATAGCCGATAGGTACTTGATATTTTATAAAAATTTACATCTAACTATTTATAGGCGTATACATATTTAGTTAAAAACTAAATATTAGGTATACTTATTTTATTCTTTGCTTTTTATTTTTTAATTTAATTTTTATTCACGAAGGGGGGTTGCGCTTTTACTCTATGGTTAATTTTCAACTCTGATTTTACAGGACTCCCTATGCCAACAACTATAGAATAATGTTCATGACGAGGCTTTGCTCCCACGTTGTATTTTGAACTTTTCTAGTTTTCTAGGGCTCATCTAGTCCCTGTAATTATTAAATCACCCATGGCCCATGCAGACGGTATAATACTAAATGTGACCATGTGGCATGCATAATATATTATATTATGGTATATCGATTCCGATTATCTGAAATTAGGGACAAATAATTTGTGGATTACCTAAATATAGAAAGCTGATCAAATATTTCTATTATCTAGTGCAATACGTTTCTATGAAATTTGTTTTAAATATTTGCAATTATATAGGTAAGTAGATACTCCGACAAAATGCTAAGGCAGAACTAGTAATTAAATAATTTATTGTAAACTAAAATACAACACATACAGTATGTAGGTATACATAGCTGTGCCAAGGTGGTAGGCGGCAAAAATTTTAACATTTCAAATGTTTAAATATTTATGTTTAATAGATGTACTAACAATATACCTAGGGGCGTATTTAGAGGGGGGGTGTACCCTGTTGCCCGGAGCGGCAAATTTATATTGACATATTATTATTGTGTATTAATTGTATAAAAAAATAAATGCATTTTTGTTTTTATTGTATCCTTGAGGCTTGAACCTTCTGTTAAAAGCAATTATTACAGCTAAAAAATTTATAGTATTTTCATCAATTTGTGGGAAAATAATATTAATAATTATAAAAAAATTTTTTATAAATATATAATTTTTATTTTTGACTGTGATTAATATTAGAAATTACAACCAAATATAGGCGTAATTCGTACAAATAAAAATACTACTAACCTCTGACGAAGGAATATTGAGCCTTGTACCCAATTGAAGATCCAGCATTAGCAAAGAATTTAATATACAACACCGGTCCAGAAGATATAATCACTGGTGGTCTAAATGTTATACCTCCAATTATTCCTAATCTCTTTCTATTCGAATCGTAAAACTGTAAACGTAGTTACAGATAATTAAAACAAAGTTATAAATTATAATCAATAATAAATGGTTTTATGTAGGTGCCGCGTGAAATTACAGTACCTATATTATATAGGTAAGTACTTTAAGTACTTAATTCGAGATTATAATCGTTTATGACTTGGTAATGAAATTATTATTATATAACATATCTATACTTACCTCAACAATTGATTCTTCGGCAATTTGAAAATCCACGAAAATTAAATGTATCAGACACTCGTTAAATGCCTTACAATTGATCACCTGTTCGAATGTCAAATCGTCTGGATAAGACATCGGAAAGAACGGAGTACTAATGTATCCACCGAATAAAATATCTGCCAAGTTGAATTCTGGTTTTATTTCCGCTAACTGAATATTTCCTACAATAGGATATATTATTTATTTAATAATTTAGACGTTTGATAGGTATATACGTTTGAATAAATGTTTGTTAGGTAATAGTAATAAACTATTGTTACAATAGTACCCAAATCATTTCTGATTGAATAAAAGTAGGTAAACTATATACTCACTGGTAATCAAGTACTCAGCTGTAAATGCATGGTTATGATATGGATGTCCGTTGATAAAATTTAAATTTACTTGACTGGTTAAAGACTTGTAATGAATTGACGAATTTTTCGCCGTGCCGTTGACACATTTTAAAGACCGTGTCGAATATGGTGGTTCGAATATGCATATAGAATTACAAACAAGATCCGTTTCACTTGAATTATTATCAGTACACGGCAAATCCACGTCTTTAAAACGTAAGTTGATCATACACGACGGACATGAGATAATGCGCAAAGAACATTGTTTGTAAAAACTTTCCTGAAACATTATAAATAAGAATATTTATTGGAAATTATAAACACATTAAAAAATTGTTTATGTATGTAGTATAATTTTATTTATTTATTTATTTACGGAATAAATCCATTTACAATATTAATATATAGTGTACAGTGTAACAAAACATATGATGAATATTTAGTTTAGTGATTACATATTATTTAAACCTAGATATAGTATAAGTATAGTTTACAATATATTAAATATATTTACATTTAGACTGAATTAACAGTAAACAATTAAAAACATTGAAACAAAACAAAAAATAAATTTTAAATAATCAAACATTAAATGCTGATTTAATACTATTTATATTACAAAAAAACAAATCTAAATTAACTGAATTTGCAATAGACATCAGTGAATTTATTGGGGAGGAAAAAGAATAATTGGTTCGTATAATTTTCAAAGTGAATAAATCGTTATTTCTAGTTAAATTAATTTTTGCTTTAAAATTTTACAAATATCGACTTACATTCAACTTTGGGTGAAAAATATCGTTTTTAGCAAAAATGATTCCTCGAGATCCAATTGCAGTATAAACTGTTTTTTTATTGAATGGCCTACAAATATCATACCGTTTGATAGTTAAGGAGAAATCGATAGATTGAAATATCGTCATCAATAAATAACCTGAAATTTATAAAAATAATTTTCAAAATATATCTATATAGGTACGAAAATTGAACGTCTTTTCCGCTCATTGAGAGGAACAAGAGGCTCATATTACATGGTTATAAATATATGACATATTTATTCAACAAGGGGAGGCACATTTTTATATATTCAAATATATTATAGTTAATTAAGTAGATATTAATTATGAAAATAATGTATAATACCATATTATCATATACTTAAATTTATAATAAAATTATACCTACCTATATATACCAACTGATCCATCCTAGTCAACGTGGGTTCCTATAGCAGTACGACCTACCTTTAGTCATATTATACTTAACAACAATGCAACTATACAAACTGACACATAGATAATATACTGTATTAACCTAACAGATATAGTATAGGGCTTCGACAACGTATTGTTATTATAATTATATATAAAAGGTTTCTTTGAGAAAAATGACCTTTATAACGACGCATTATTATTGATCCTCATAATATTGTGGGTTTTTTAAATTCAATGGCAATAATAAGCTTTTTGTATAATACAACTAATCAATAAAAACACTAACTATGTATTCATTTACATTCAATATAGATATATTATATACATATACAGGTAAATGTATTAATTTACTATTAAGTCTGTCCACGGTTAAGTGAAACACTCAATAGCCCATAGGTATTACTGCAGTGGCGTATCCAGGGGGGTTCGGGTGTTTAACCACCCCCTCACCACAATTTGAAATTTTTCCCCTAATAAATGTATACAAAAATATTTATATTTATATACAATAACTGTAAAGAACTTTGTTTAATTTATACTTACCCCCCCCCCCTCCACCATTTTATAATCCTGACAACGCTACTGGGTATTATTAGGTAGGTACCTATAATGTTTAGAGTTGTACAATTTTAACACTGTTATTTTTTGTTTATTATGAATCAAGATACTATAGAGTATAGAATACATATTTATGTTATTGATTCTATAAATTCTTTGCGAAGCAATGAATGTATAAGGTATATTAGGTATGTATTGATTTTACAGTTATGTTTTTTTTGTGCCGTTAGACTGTACTACATCACTAAAGCTGTCAACTTAAGTCCCAAGAACAAACGCCACATGCCCCCACATCCCATGCTTCGCTCATGCATTAAACTTGGTAGCTCAAAATGCCATCACTAGCACTAAGTTTTCAAATGTAAACTAATTCAAGAAGTTTCAACTAGTCACTAGATGAAACAGCACATTTTATATGCTTGAACGGATTATTACACTACGTCCATTCGTAAACGATATTGTACCTAAATCGTAATATTTCAGCTCCTACAATGGTCTCTGCAAAGGATATTAATGAAATAATAGAAACCATAGATATTTTAAGGCTGGAAACGGCCACAAAGGAATTAAGAAGTGAATAATATGTTTCAAGTTTCAAGTAGTACCTATGGTATTATACCAATCGTGCACATATTGCAAACAAAAGTTGATAAGGCAACATCAACTCAAATTTTTAGCACTCGACATAAAAATGCTTTAAAATTTGTATGTTCAAAACGACTTGGACAAATAGAAAACATTTCATTTTTAACAATTGCAACAATAATAGATCCTCGATTTAAAAGAATTTATTTTAAAAATTCAGTTCCGTCGTCCAAAATGTCAACTAAAATATCTGAAGAAATAAAGGAGTGTCAAGTGACATTTGAAAGTTCATCTGATTCTCCTGATTCGATTGGTAAGTTGATCAAAATATATTATCTGTAATAATGTGAGTAAATCTATTTATTAAAATACCGGAGATTTTTATGCTTAATCGCCTATAATCTATATCCGTTGTTCATTATCATAGGTATTAATTCTAAAACTTATAACTTATTAGGTATAGCCGTATAGGTATAACATTAATATCGTATACACGTAATACATACACAACTGCTAGATAGATATCTGGCTACAATTGAATAAACAACTTTTCCGTTTTAAATGCTAAAAACGAAATATAGTATATTAAAAATAATGCCATAATGTTATAAATATAATAATAATATCTTGGACCATAGTAACGAGATTTGTTTATTTATATTTTAGTTTTTAAAATTAATTATTCATACTAACCATATAGGCTTCCGATCAAACTAATAACGGACGAATTTGGAGAGAAACGCTGGTTGAGTTGGATAGAATCATCGGGGAATGTCCAGGAACAGGAGTGGCGCCTAACTGAAATGGCGCCCATGTATAACGAGACACACTGCACCGAGGACAAAGAGAGGACTAACGGCGGGCTGTCGGCCATGGACACCACGAGGCCGATCCCAAGGGAACGAGGTCGGCCTCTTCTGCGGTGACTGGGCCACGTTCTCATTGGGCCGAGACGACGACTTAGGGTCGGTGCGCTACAACGTAATATGCGGCCGAACGGCCGAGGAGGAGGATGCGAGCTCGACGGCGGAGTGGATAAAAAAAATATGGCGTGCAGCGGCGGCCCTAGGAGCAGCTGCAGAAGAGGATTGGCGAGGACGAGTTTGGAGATCAGCCGCCGGAGGACCACCGAAGGCATAATGTCATGGAAATGCTGCCCGCGTCCGGGAAACCCATAGGCGACGACGGTGTTCGTTCTGCTGTGGTCGGGGCGGGCAAGCTGCCGGGTGAACTGGGCTAGAAAACCTTCTGTAGATGACGAAGTGCGAGTGCCTGAAGTGCAGGTGTCGGGACCGGGAGATGGTGACAACAGAGTCATAGTCGAGGAGAAACAAACGGAGTGACTGTGAAACTGAATAGGGGGTAAGAAGTTCCAAGAGTTCCAAGAGTTCCAAGAGTTCCAAGTTCCAAGAGAAGCGCGAAAATAAACGACCACATAACATATACATACATTATAGCAAAAGCCGGCCCTTATAAATCAGCCAAAGTTCCTAACCCATGTCCAAACTCCAAATCAAATATTATTATACTACCAATTGCCAAACAGACAACTTGACAACATATCTTAATATATTATAACGTAAGTTATTTGCACACATTATTTTTGAACTAAAAGTGTTACGACTTATTACATAAACCATATAACAATAAATAATAAAAATTGTTAATAATTATCCGTAAAATTACAATTTCAGCATACCTACGATTGACCGGCCAGCTTCCATCACATGATAATATGCTCGCCGGAATTCATGAAGCCGTTTCGCGCTTCTCGTAACTGCCATCGCCGTCAAACAAGACCCTTCCATCAGTTTCACTGTCACCTCCAAAAGTTCCTCCTCTTCTTCATGTCACCATATCCGGGTCTGGCACGCACCTCGATCTGCAGCCGGAAGCTTTCTAGTCCGAACCGCCTGCCTGACCCCAGAACGAGCACTCTGGCCGGTTTCACAGACGCGGGCAGCATTTCCGTGGTGGTGGTTCTCCTGCAAAGGCTGATTTACAGAATCGTCCTCTGATTGACGGATCCTGATCCCGCGCAGGCTGCTGCCACCGCTGCATGCCATAGTAGTCGCTGTCGAGCACCAGAGCATCCTCCTCTGGCTCCGTCCAGAGAACTGCCGGTTTGGGTCGGCGGCTTGTTGTAGTGCACCTCGCGCCTTCGTCGTGGCCCGAAGAGAACCCCCGAGGGGGTGGTTCGATGGACGCCCTGCGTCCTGGTCCTACAGTCCGCCGAAAAATTTCCTCTCGTCATCCTTAGTGCAGTATGTCTATAATCCGGACATTCCCTGATATCCAGAACCAGAGTTTCTAAAAGAAAATTTAGATTATAATAAGTTATTATATTGTTATATTTTATGTTTTAGATTAATAAAGAAAAATGTACAATTCAATATTTATGATATTGTTATTATTATTTTTTGGTAATAACTTATTATAATATATACTTATTCTAAGTTATAAACTATAAATGCCCATCAAATATCAATGATGAAAATCATTAAAACATTTTTAAATCTTGATTTTTATTGCATTGTAAACTTTTTTCATTTGTGATGGTGGATAATCTAAAATCCAAATACTAAATACAAAGTAATTATTATTTATATAGAAATGAATCAGAAGTTAAGTTCCTGAGATAAAGAAATAATACTTATTATTTTATAAAAGAAAAGTATATACTTCTAAACACGTTATTATGATTTGTCATTGTATAATAATGAATAAACATAAACGTATATCACCTTTGGGAATGAGTATTATATAAAACGTTTAGCACATCACTTTATCGCCGATAATATAAATAAAAAAAACCTAAATACCTATCACAAATAATAATAATAATATAATAATAATATTAGTATGTAATTTATTCCATTACCTATGTGATCCTACGGACATGCTTATTCTTACTTAATTTTAAAGATATACTGCAAAGAATATTACCCCAAATTCTAAATTGGGGGAGGGGTACTGACATGTCCTTGGAACCCCCCTGTACGAAATGCGAATAACTTTGGAAGGGATAAAGCACTAACGAAGCACAAACGACCGCGACCTAGGTTTGGATGCGAAATTCGAAAGGGGGAGTGGGTGCCGGCGACATGGATCTCATTTTCACTGGTTGTATTTATACAGTAATACTTCCGTTACGGGGATTCGATACCGTGATTTTCTGTTTTTGTCTAACACGCGCGATATAGTATTTTAGACTTGTTTTTTGCCAAACATACCAATTGATCTAATGAAGCGATAAGAATTCTGAAAACAGATTTGAATTTGTCATAAAGTCTACTTGAAATCAACTTTCCCACATTTTTGATTTTATCCCCCAAATTTTTTAAAATGTCATATTCAAAAATTCTGTTATTTCAATTTTTGGAGAAGTTAAAATCAAAAAATCAAAAATGTGGGAAAGTCGATTTAAAGTAGACTTGACGAAAAATTCAAATCTGTTTTCAGAAATCTTATCGCTTCAATAGATCAATTGGAATGTTTGGCAAAAAACACGTCTAAAATACTATGTCGCGCGTGTGTTAGACAAAAACAGAAAATCGCGGTATCGAATCCCCTTAATAACGGTCTTTCTTGGGTCCCGTCGAGTATTATCCTACCTCTGTAGGACGGTCACCTCTAAATAGCGGTCATTATTTACAGTCCCTTCGGTGACCTAGTGGCGGTTTTGATAAATCATCAAGGGGACGCTATTTTAATTTTTGGGGCTCCCTCCGCAATAATTAAAGCAATTCAAGCATTTAGTGTAATTTCAATTTAAAAAAAGACATGCAAAAAGAAACCAAGGGAGGGGTGAGCTCTCCCCCTAAAAACCGCCACTGAGGTTAGGGAGTTATGGAAGTTCTACTGTATTAACATTTTCTAAACACGATAACATTTTTAAAATATTTTGATTTGTTTTGAACTGTTTACGGACATTTTCAGTTTCCAATTTTTTTAGTTTTTTTCTATGAATGTCAATAAAATTTTATCTGCTTGGCAAATAAGCTTGAAAATGTAATACAAGGCTGCTAATATATTGTTACGATGGAGTTTGAAAATATTAAAAATCCAGTCATCATTTTTTTTATAAGCATTTAAGTTCAAATCTGGATAAAATACGTGAAAATCAAGAAAATATGCAAATTATTTTGAATTGGAAATTCATAAAAAAATTTTTTTTAAATCTAAAATTTTAAAATGTACCTAATACAAGATTCCTTATAAGTTTCTTGGAAAAATGAATTGTTAGGCAGAAATTAATCTATATATATATACAGAGTGATCACTGATCCCTTTAACGTAAGATACTTATTAGTTATTACTTATTAGTTTTATACAAAAAGTAGATTGTTAAACGATAAAGTGTCTTACGTTAAATTACCCATATCACTCTGTATATATAAATTATAAATGAATGTTTGTCTGTAAGTCACTGATCTCATAAACGGCTGGACCGATTTTGATGTATTTCTTGTGTGTTTGAGTGGTTCAATGGATGGTTTAGATTTAAAATTGGACCCATTGGGTCTAACTCGGACTTGAAGCTATAAATTATAACATAATATAATATACCTAATGCATATTATGCAACATGTTATGAAATAGGTAATCTTTAGTTTATTTAATACCTACTGTATACAACAGCCAACAGTTCAGATACCTACGTAGTCATTACTTATTTGTGTAGTGATAGTCATAATAATATTATATTATAAATTTACCAAATAACTTTGAACACACGATACCTATATGTATATCAAAATATTTTGTAAATCTTATGCATCTATGTATATTTAGTAAAAAAATACCTAGTTGAATTCGTTTTTTTTTATTGGTGTAGGTACTTAATTTAGATAAATTTTTTTTTTCTACAATACTTCTGACAACTGGATCTTCTTATATATTCTGTCCTTGGATTCATATTGACAATATCACATGAAAACATTTGAGGTTTTATTCACTACCTACTATATCTCCTCTGCACCATGGTTTTATTAAAATAATAGCTGAGAAATTCAAACTTTTCAACTCTCTTTGAGCAATTTTTGTTCACTTGTCCATGGTCAGTCCTATTGTTGAATATGACTCTGCTGTTTGGAATCCACAGACTACGGACAATTTTAAACAACTTTAACGTGTCCATCACAGATTTCTAAGCTTTACAAAATATACTTTTAATATTAATTGCGAACCTAAAAACTACACTCCCGTCCTCCGCTTTCTAAATCTCTTGTTTTCTTATACCACCCGGCTCAACCAATTATTGAGAAACGAACCTCTCTTGAATCTCCCAGGATGACGAAAATCGCCAATGAAGATCCCGCCTTCCTTTTCTAAATTATTTCGTTTGATGTACTGTACTTCATTTAAATTTGTGTTATGCACTCATAGTGTGCCCCATATGGGAATCTTGCCCGTGATTGTTATGAATAAATATATATTCCCATTTTTTTCATTTAGTAAATATTAATAAAAAGCTTTGATTATGGTTTATTTATTTTTTTTTTTACATCAAGTATGAATTGTATTTAATCAAATTTATTTAATTCTATTTAACAAAATCCTATATAATAAAAAATTATTTTTGTTGCCCATGAGACTTTGTAATATGAAAGTTTCACTGCATTGACAATTTATTATTAAATAAGTAATAATCTATTTTAGCACAGTCTATACTCCTGTCACTGTAGGAATAATAGTTATGCACATATTATATCTACCATTGTCACCTAAATACCTGTGGAACATACAAGCATAAGCTTCCTAAATTTACTGATCAAAATTATATATTACACCCGACACGAGTATGGAATAAAACACATATAGTTCCAAAAAATTATGTATTATAAGGCATAAGTATTTTAATGGTAATACATAGTAGAAAATGACGCAATTCGTTCAGTGAGTTCACAATATTTTAACGGTAAAGACGCTGTACATTTTAAAATTCCATTTTAATATCTGAAACCAAAAATTACATGTTATTTAATACTTGTCAAACAAACAATAATGTTTTATTATTTTAGATTCTGAGTGGATGTATTTATTATTTAATATCAATCTTACAATTTTTTTTTTTTTTTTTTTGACAACATTTTTAGGAACAGTAAAAATTCTTTAATTTTCAATGAGTAAAAATCAGAACTTTGTTAATTAATTGAATTGATTTTGGTTCTAATTTTAACTTACCACTTTGTTTTATTATACTTCCTTTCCAAGTATTTTCTAAGCTTCTTAAAAATTCTTCAAAGATATTGACGCTTTTTAATAATGACGTTTTTTTATAATCCTTTAAGCGATTACTACTCAGGTTTGCATCATTGATAATTTCTTTTTGTTTTTTGTCATACTCATTAATTTCATCAATTAAAACACTATAACAAATAAATAAATAAAATATGGTAATAAGAAAAAAAATTATATTATCGTTTACTTGATTGTGGGTACAGTGTTTGGGTTAAATTTTTCTATAACTTTTGGGTTAATTGGTATACAAATTTTTCCAGTTTTCGGATGAACACAGAAAGGAGACTTCAACAAGTGATTTAACCCTTTTGTTACATTCACATCAAGTCTTGGATATGCCAAATACAACAAAATATCTTCCACACAATGTTTTGTTTTAAAATTTAATAGCCCCTGTTAGAATACAAGTAAATATATGTGAGTTTAGGTAAGAATACACATTGTATAACATTTATCATTTGTAAATTTTACCCTTTTATGGTTATTATTAACAATAACAGTTAGTGCTTCCCATCGTTGTATACTACCTTGATACTTTGAAAATTGTAAATTAATTTGTTCCTTTATTTTTTCATCAGCTATAAATGACAAAATTTTATTACACTGTTCGGTCGTTCCTAAGAAATCTTGTTCAGCAAGAAGTGAATTGAACTCTTCTTTTATAATGGCAATACTGCGTCTGTTGTTTGTTAAAAGAATGTTTTATAAATTAAATCGAAAATATTATAATTTTATTTTTTGCAACTGACCTCACAGAGTGATGATTTACATTAGATCTTTTTGGATCCCCAGCAGATAAAATAGCTAAATAATCAATAAACGATCCACGTTCAGAAGGTAAGAGTTTTCTTGCAGATTCATCACATATCCAACAATGGATACCTCGGCGACCTGAGAATACCCACAACAAATGCTTCCATCCAAAATCATCCCGAATTGCTCGTTCCAATATTTTTACAGCAATAACCATAAATCTAAAACCAGATTATAAAATTAAATGTTTCCTACATATTTGAAAAGTAATTTTTATAAGTAAAAATAGTAAAAATAACACACCTCCAACATTTTTGACAGACTTCAGCACCTGAACAACAAGTACGGATTTGATCATAGTCGGTCATATCAATATCAATCACTAATTCTTTTTCAATAGCATGAAACTGAGGATAATTTCGGCAGACTTTGGGACTAAAAAATAAATAAATATATTTATAGGTACCTAGGTACGTTATAGCAAAATATTTTATAATTATAAAATTATATAAACCTCATATTGAACACAGCTCCAATATCTATTTTAAAAGGACATCGATTTTGAATTTCTTTTTCAAATTCTTGCAATGTGTTGAACGATTGATATCTAATATAAATATCTTCATGTAAGGTGAACGAAAATTCTCTGTTTAAAAAGTTTTCTGGTTTCACTGAAAATACAAATTACAAGTTAAATTAAAGCAAATAAAAGCTACTCAAAAAAACTAAACACTATTTCAAAAGAGAAGACATCAGACGGCCACGATCAAGACAGCTTTTGCTACGTAAATCTGGTGTCTTCTCTTTAGGAACAGGGTATTTCTGTAAACATCTACGATCTATCAGTGGCGACCTGTTATTAGGGGACATATTGTAACATGTAATGTATATGTTGGTACCAACGTCTAATTACCGACTTTTTGAATGGATAATGTTTTTTTGGACGATTTAAATAAAAAAAAAAAAACTTACCGTTCCCGTAGGACAACCACTTGTGAAACTGCGAGTAGGGGAACAATTTTTTGTAATAGACATTAAGGTAGTCCGGAAACTGGTCGTTGGACATGATTATTCTATCGTCTGTTGTCGTCTTCTATTTTACATTACTATAGAGACCAATAAGCAATAATAATATTATATTAGATTTTAATATTTTGTTGTTTTTGTACGTTGCGCGTCGTACACTCGTATTCCTATTTAGTATTTTTATTTACCAAGTCTCAAAGATAAGGAAATAAAGAAAACGCGGGAAAACGCGTCGTCGAGGTGTTTTGTTTTTTTCGTAACGTCTTTGCGCGGTCGACATCCATTTGTACAACGTCCCGCGGCCAAGGTCTCGGGTCGACCCACTGGTGACGTCATCGGATTTTTATTTACGTGTTCCCAGAGTGTGTGTCACCACTCAGTGCCACTGTGTTGTTGTTCACTTGTTCGGTGTCCAAGCGATTCGAGCTTAGTCTTCGATATTTTTCATACACTGCACACGGCGTCCGTACAACTTTGGACTAAACGTACCAGGGGAACCTTTCAAACGCGCGACCGGAAGTTTGACGACTTTTAACGCGATCCGAGTGATCACTTCCGCCAACGGAAATAGATCGTGAGATCTGTCGTTCATCTCGATCGCAGTTCTCGCATCCGACCGGTGACCGGACCGGACGCATCTGCCTATAAATAAACACTCAAGCAGAGCCGAACATGCCGACCACGACGTTCCGCTCGTTCGCCCGTTCGTTCGGGTCGAAAATGTAAGTTCGCGAACACACAAATACTATTGTTCAGATGCGCATACCGATTTTTTTTTATTATTATTCATATTATTGTTGTTGTTATGCCCCTACGATGTTGTTATTGTTAAAACAATAAAATTATTAGAAATATTATGCCCCGGCGGAGAGTGGGAATTGTCGTTTAACATCGATTATCGACAAACGCTGTTGTGCGCTGTCGGTGTCGTTAATAATTAATACGCCATTTTTTTTTTTAATAATTGTACCTAATAAGAGAATAGGTACGACAATAACATTTTGTCTCGAAACTTTTGTCGGTCGTTCGGACCAGTAACGTCTGAAAATGTCATGACGTTATCCTTGAAAGTTGGAAACGACAAATAAAAAAAACAAATACTACTCATTGCAGTTTATTACGAATAATCGCGTAATACAATTTAATAGTAAAATTCCAATGACATACTAATTATCTAGTATGCTAATTACGACTTTTATGTTGGCATTAAAGAAATAAATTATTCAGTTCACTAGATATCAATCGCTTACTTAGGTATACATAAATGGTTTTTTTTTATAGATTGTCATATTATGTTTTGTAGAACGTCTTGAATGAATAATATCTAATGTCTACTTATTATGTTTGTTTTTTGTTAACCTTTATGCTTGGTTTTTTTAATTCGTCCACTGATGTTTTTTTAGAACAAATTTAGTATACCTTCCCTATCTACCCACCTACTTTTCGTCTCTGAAATTTATAAATTATTCCACTGTTGAGCGGCTTAAGCCTTATTTTTGAATTTCTATTCTTTTGAAATATTTATTTCTACCACTTGAGAATGGTATATTTAAATTTATTATACTCTACTCAAAAATTCTTAAAACAATTAGTTATTTCATTTCATTGAAATTTAACGGACCAATCATTGACCACTATATTATATTTAAGTTACCATAAGATTGGTCCATTTAATGTTAAGTGATTGTTTACGCAACTCGTTATTAATATTTTATCAGTAAATTGTATTTTTTAATCATCACATTGAGCTAAATAAGTCATTAATCATTAGACATTAGGTATTACACATCAAGTCCATTTGTGCTTCTTTATATATTGTTGTATAAGAACCAATAAAAGATAAATATATAAAGATAATAAAACATATTAATAAGTGAAGGTAATAATGATAATTATTATATTATCAACAATAATAAATATTTCTTATAACTAGCAATTTTATTTTAACTATGACGTAAGAGTATAGTCAGATAACATTAAATGAATCACATGAATCATATTTGATATACTTCAATAGGAGACGTCTGAGTTGTTGTCTTAAACCATGGGCGGGTTTTTGCTTACAGTAAAATTTTTAAAAAGCCATCAAGGAGTCATTGTGTCAAACTATAAAAAGGATCAAAGCCCTAACACGGATCAGACAAGTTTTGGTTAGGACACAGGAATGTTCTCTTGTGGGCCAGAGTATATGGGTTGAGAGTTTTCATTCTGATATAGCCTGGCTTGAGCTATAAATAATATATAAAACAATAATATCTACAGTTCCATCTAAAAGTGAACCACTCGGCCGACCAAAACACGTTTTTTCCGCTCATAAACAACACAATCGGTGAGAGCGTTAGCCATCGTAAGGGGGTCAGGCATTGTTCGGCGGCTCAGTCTGCATGAGCAAAAGCGGTTCACTCTTGGATGTAATAGAGTATAGGGCGAATATTTCTAGAAAATAATAATTAAATGGAAAAATAAAACAATAAAGTAGGTACTCGTAATATTTCAAAATAATACATTTAAATACTCATTAGTCATTAACAACCATATGTTAACTATAATAGTTTTAGTATTAGAATTTCTATAATATGCTAACAAATGTTTAGGTACTTTTCTTTTTAATTGGGTAACAATGTTCTAGGCACCCTATCAATTATTTAAACAATTAAAATAGAATAAACTAACTAATGATATCCATGAATTTTATCCACTTAGTATAGTCTACATGAACCTTTCGAGGGGAAGGGTTTGAAAATCAATTGGTTGATTATTGTAAACTTTTTAAAATACATAATTTAAATTATTTTTAAATATTTAGATACTGAAATAAAGTTTACATGCATTGTTTAATAACACTACTTTATAAATGTTTTATAAATACCTACCTAATTAAATTGTATTATTGCATTTAATAAATTTGTAGTTTAACATTAGGTAAAAAGAAAAAAAATCATAAAATAGTTAGTTACTTGCTTAAAAAACATCATGCTATTTTCATTAAGTTATTTTACCTATAATAAAAATATAAACGATAAAACCTTTTTTTGTCTAGTGAACAACCAGTACGTACACATTTAGTCAATGTGTATGCCTGTTTGACAGTATCCATGATATCGGCTGCAGTTGGGGCTTATGTCCATGTTTTCACCAACTTTCTAAGTGCTGGATTATTGACAACTCTGGGTGCTACTGGATTGCTATTAGCACTTATGTACACACAAGATAATGGAAAAAATCGCTCTCTCAGAATGAGTTATTTAGTTGGATTTACTTTCTTCACTGGTTAGTTTTCATAAATAACATTAGTAACCTAATATTAAAATTTATTTATTTGAAATATTGTGTGATGTGTTATAGGGCTTGGAATTGGTCCAGTCTTAGACTATGTTATACACGTGGACCCCAGTATCATACCAACAGCATTTTTGGCGTCTACATTGGTATTCGTATCATTCAGTTTGTCAGCCATTTTTGCCGAACGTGGAAAATGGCTCTACCTTGGTGGTACTTTAATGTCGTTGCTGTCTGTTCTCATGTGTTTGTCTTTGGCCAATATATTCCTTGGTTCAGAGCTTATATTCAAAGTATATTTATTATAGTAGTGTTTAATTATTTTAGTTGCTAACTTATTTATTTATGTATATTTCAGGGTTATCTTTATCTCGGTCTTGCGCTCATGAGTGGTTTTGTTTTGTACGACACTCAGTTAATTATGGAAAAAAGAAGAGCAGGAGACAAGGATTTCATTGCTCATTCTGTTGATCTCTTTGTGGACTTTATTGGCATCTTCAGAAGGCTGCTAATCATTTTAGCACAAAAGGTGAAAAATCAAACTCAAAATAATGAAACACAAAATGAATGAAAACTATAATATTACTTTTATAGGAACAAGGATCGAAGAAGCGCAAAGACTGAATGGAAACACATCCTCTTTTTTTAATAAAAACTGTAATTACCAACTAAATATCAACTGTGTACACAACCAACTATTTGAAATTAAATTTAAAACTATAAATAATAATAGTGGGTTTTTGTTTTTAGTTTGGTAATATCTTTACATATATTATTACTATCTATAAGTCATATGATTTAAGTTTTAATTTAGACCGCCTAAAGGTAAACCTACCTAATGTCAAAATTGTTCTTTTGGTGTAGGCATTTAGATATGTTGAATTCGTTTAATAGAATTATATTTTTCATTTATCACAATGGTTTTCTTATAATAAAAGACTAATAAATTTGTTACAATAACTGATAATGACTTACGTTTTCATTATTTATATTGATCTCCTTTTCAAATATTACATCCTTGCAATTATTTTCTCAAATAGCCATAAAATTAATTTTTATATAGAATTGACAGAATACAATTATAACACAAGTGCCACTATTAATATAAATGCAGGAACAATATAACAGTTAGGTTATTGGATAATTTTTCAAATTCTAGACAAATTAACATTTTAAAAATCAGGTAACTGGTCCTGGTATACAGCAGGTATCAAGTGCACATCATCTTAGGTATAGTAGGTTACTGTAATGGATGTATTAAATATGAATTTAATGGTAAATCACTGCATAAGAAAAACAATTTTGAGTGAAGGCAGTATATCAGTCTAAACTTTAATGTTATTTTATATTGCTATTCAAAATCATTATTAATTGATAGGTTTGACTAATTTTTTTCCAATAAAAAGTCGCATACGATACAATATTATCAAGTGTTGTAAAATTATACTCCAATGCTGACGAAACGTAGGATATGATTAGGTTAAAATTGGTATAAATAGCTAAAAATTAGTCTAAATACTTTAAAAATTTCATACAAAGTCTACAACCAGTTCAAATATTTTATAAATTATATCATGACTCAACTAGTATTAAGTATTAACTAGATTCACATTCCTATAGAAATAGACATTGAAGTTGGAAATCAAACTCATTTTTACTATAAAAAAAAATACTCCTTTAGGTGATGACTAGGGCCCGGATTTTTATGCAAATGCATATTCTTCTACATTTGACGTATAATAATTCTGATTAAATATCTTGACGTTTCGTACCACGTAGATTCTACTGTAAATTTTTTATTTTGCATATTTTTGCATATTTGCATCAAAATGCATAATAATTGCATATTTCGGGGTAATTACATAAAATGTGCATATTTAATAAATACATGATAAAATTTCATCAAAGTTTGATATACATGCCTATTTTGCCCGATCACCTAGTCGTGTAGGTACTTTTAAAGAAAAATGTCCAAACATAAGTTTACCCCTACAACCTATTATTACCCGATGGGGAACGTGGCTTGATGCAGCGTTTTATTATGGTAAAAACTTTGACAAAGTCAAAGAAGTTATCGACACATTTAACCCATATGACGTCTATTAAAAATGCACCACAATTATTAAATGATAACTCGATCAAAAATGAACTTTCGATAATTCTATCAAATTTCCAATGCATAAAAAACACTATTACGTGTCTAGAAAAATCGGTAGTTAATCTTGGAAAAAGTCTAGAATTGGTTCAAAATGTAGAAAATAAATTGAGTGAAGGAGGAAGAGGTATTGAATTTGCTGAAGTTAAGCTATCGAAAGTATTATCAAAAAATCCCGGATTATCACAAATAAAAAAAATGTCTGAAATTATAAGTGGAGAAATAAGAAACGACAATGAAGACCTTGCAGAGTTGTCACCAGAAGATATTTCTTGTTTCAAATACGCACCAATTGTGTCAGCAGATGTGCAAAGAAGTTTTTCGAAATACAAGGTAATGCTACGCGACAATCGAAGAAGATTTCAATTTGATAATTTAAAAGCACATTTTGTTACATCATGTTGGTATTCTTTCAATAATTAATACAAATTTTTATGCTTTATACACATTTTAATAAATTATATTTAAATTGTATTTTTTTTCACTTATACCTACTATATTTTTAAATTTTGTATTTTTAAACAATACATTTTTTTGCATATTATTTGCATATTTTTGAATTTTTGAGTGCATATATATGTGCATATTTAACAAACATTTTTGCATAAAAATCCGGGCCCTAGTGATGACACAAAAATAAAATAACATTGTAAAATCAAAACAGCGATCCACTAAAAACCTAAAATTAACTATAAAATCAATTGCAATTTTTGGGGAATTTTATGTATTTTTTAGAAATATGAACTCAAAATATTTATAAAATAATATTGACTGTGAACTTTTGATATTTTGTGATCCATTGCTATAATATGAATATCTTATGAGGAAGCTTAAGTTTCTTTGCATTTTACTTTTACATCTTAAAACGCAGAAATATAAAATAAACTAAAAATGTCAAATATCTCTAAATACCACAAAAAGAGTTAGTGAAATGGTCAAGTTTACAGTTGTTAATTTTTGATCTAAGGTCAACTTATAATCAATTTCGATTTTGTCCAAAACTGGTTTAATGTTAAAATTCTCATTTTTCCGATTATTTTTAAAAATAATCAGGAAATTTTTACTTTGAGCCCCCTAAAAGTACTAACTTGTAGTAAATATCCAATTTGCTATCATTAACCATCCTGGAAGTTGAATATCGTTTTTCTACAATAAAACATGAGTACATGTAAACACAAAAAAAATATTCTTAGTAAAACTGCTCAGAATTTATAACAATGGTGCCAAAAAAAAAATTGAGTAAATCATTAGTTAACATTGCCAGTTAAAGTATGCCAAAGAGTACCTTTTCACCCCTACCAGCTTGTTTTGCTAAATATTCTTCAATTTTCCTTTTGCAAATGAGCTGATGCTGGCTGCTACACCTGTCACCTTTGATTACTTGGCACATTGATAAGGTCTACGTTACTATGTGAGACACCACTAATATAAATGACACAGTATTTTTTCGTTAATATCTGAACAATATTCTCTTTAATTTCTTATTACTCGTCAATAGCTAAATAACTATTTTTTGAGAGGTATCAGTAGTATCTTGATTCATTGTCACTTGAATACATAGTAACTTTATTTTAATGAAGGTACAAGATAAAGTAAATTAGAAAATGGTTGGATAACTTACAGTCAAGCAGACCAGGCTCTTATTGCCATCTAATTATGAAAATTAACAAAAATAATAACCATCATCATCAACTAAAACATTAACAAGTTTCACATGATAGCAAGAGGCATCATCATAATTCGAGAGGTAGCATACCATGTCAATTCTTGTCTGTTGTCAGCTGTCAGTATGACTATATTTTTGTAGATCTATTACTATTTCAAGGCAAGGGCCAGTACACATGAATACACAGCCAGGTAAAATTTGACTCATGTAAACTCTATCAGTGAATAACATAAAGTAATAGTTTAAATAATTAAAACCTACCTTTAATATAAAAAAATTATAATTTTCATTTTTTTAATTAACCATCTTCAATAAATAATAGTCAGGTAAGCTAAACCAAAAAATATATATAACTTAGAAATAAAAACCATAGTAAATAGTTGTAATAATCATAAAATATCAGTGGCGGCGGGATATAGGATTATTTGAAGCAATTGCTTCATGTCTGAAATGGGTGGGTGGGTGTATAAATATAATCGTAAAACCTCAACAAAAATATCATGACAAATATTATAATTAATAATTATTAATGGCCCATGTTGCTAATTTTGGTTCAATGAAGGGTACGGTGGAAAAATATTTAAAATATACAATATGCTTCAAAGCCTACACAATTTCGCGCCGCCACTGTAAAATATGTAGGTATGTTATTTATGTCATAACGTTATTATGTTATATTTTGAACTTCATAATTATGGGATGGAATTTGTAGATATTCTAACTTCTAAGTCTAATATAAATCCATTATTATAACTTTTTATAGACTTCATATTATTTTTTTAAAAAAATTTTTTAAAGTTAAAAATGTTTGAGTATATGGTTGAGATATATTATTAAGTTTTACATAAGCAAGGCTAGAAATAAAACTGGCAATTTTGAACCTTTATATTTCTAGTTTTATTAATTATTAGTCATGTTTCCAAAAAAACTTTGATCTGTAATGTCTGAATTTCAATTTTTAAGACCCACTGTATAAGATGGCTAATATTTTAAAATTATTGTAATTTGAGAAAGAAAAAATGTTGTTTCATAAGACATTGAATTTATAAAAAACTGTATGTAACCTAATAAAAATAAAATATAACTAGTTAACATTGAATCTAATATAGGGTTGCCATATATAAGTTTTGAATACATCATTTAGTTGTCCTGATAGTATTTTAGGACGACATATTGTCCCGGAATCAAAACTTTTATAAATCTAATTAACTTACTTAATTAAAATTTATAGTTAGATTAGTTAACTAGAAAAAAAATTGTTATAACGAATGACAAATTAATAATTAAGTTGATTATTTTATTATTTACTAAAATCTATTTTTAAATTATTTATACGGGTTGGTGATAACAATTATTGATTAATACAGCAATAGTCATTGTGTGGTATTCTAGTAAAAAAAAAAAATTAGTGTTAAAAACTGGACCACGGAGAAGGAGTGGTAAAATTGTTTTCATAAAAATGTATACAAAAAACAATTGTATTGTTTAAGGAAAATAATATATGACAACCCAATCTAATACATATAATGTTTTAGAGTACCTGTCTCGCCCATTCCTGACATCTGTAACAAGTTAGACCACACTTGGTATAAGGAAACAGTTACTATGTCTATTAATAAATAGAGGAAATATTATAGAAATTAAATTAACAAAATGAAATAATTAATTATTGACGTTATTATTTAAAAGTTACAAAAAACAATATCGGTACCTATATAATAATACTCAATACAAGTAATTTTATTATGAATAATGAGGTTGAGAAGTCACAAACGATACTCTAAACAATGAAAAAAATGATGATTTTCATTCAAGTTAGAATAAAAAACAATACATGGTTACAGAAATCTTGTTCATCACATTTATATGATTACCTTATTATTTATTTACATAAAAGAAAAACTAATAATAATCATGAACTTCCAGACTTCTGCAATTTACTACCTAGTAAAGTTTTATCTAGCTACAATTACACAAAGCATAAATCGTCAATAAAAGAATGTATAAAAAAAATTAGACTGCTAAAAATATTTAGTTTTTGTTTTTGTTATTATTAATAATTAATATGGACGGTTTCGGTCTCCTCTTCTATCACTAAAAAAAAAAAAAATTCAAATTAATTAATTTGTAGATTCAAATTGAATTAATAAAAACTTACTCTCGCATTGGTCCACCACCTCGTCCACCACCTCCACCTCCGCGGCCGCCAGGTCCTCCTCTGCCTCCTCCTCCAAATCCACCTCTACCTCCTCCGCCTCCACCGCCGCCAAGACCACCACGACTACCGCCCATACTAGGACCGCCACGACCACCTCCTCCCATTCCACCACCACGTCCGCCGCGCATGGGTGGTCCACCACGCCCACCACCCATACCACCTCCTCGTCTGCCACCACTATCACCAAATCCTTCGGGCCTTGGCTCGTTGCATCTGTTACAGTTCTGACGCCAAGAGAAGTTAGTGTTGGCACAAGTTGGATTTGAACATTTCCAGTCACCGTCACGGCCACCTGAATCATTTCCACCACCTCCGCGGCCACCGCCTCTGCCACCACCACTGCTCATACGGTCATCTCTTCTACGGTCTGGGGGTGGTCCACGATCATCTCTACCACCACCACGACCTCTGCTACCACCGCCTCTTCCACCTTTAAAGAAATACATTTAATAGACATAATATTTTTTAATTTTAAAGCAAATTATTAAAAGGTAAAATTATTACCTCTGGGGCCATAGAATCCTCCGCCTCCTTCGGATGGATCGTCTGATACAGGATCATCCATTTGATAACCACCACCACCACCATATCCTCCACGTCCACCGCCACCTCTACCAGTACTACCACGAGAACTTCCACCAGTTATACCACCGCCACGTCCTCCTTGCCAATTATCTCTCTTTGTGGCTAATTGGACATTTATTGTAGATCCATTGAATGATTTACCTAAATATCCAAATTAATTGGTTTAGTGTTTCCATTTAGTGAATACTAATCAATAGAAGTTTAAAACGAACCATTAAACCAGGATATAGCACTATTTGCAGAATGAGCATCATCATATGTAACAGTTGCTTCCCCTTTAGGTCTTCCACTCGCTTTGTCATTGTACATCCAAATTTTGGGCTTTCCTGTTTTTTTATCAGTCTAAAATGCAATATGATTAAGTTTAAAATAAAATAAAATTTAGGAACTATGTACCTAATACAGGTCGGATAATGTATTACCTTGATAATGCCAATTGAACCAAAGTGTTGTTCAATATCAGCTTCAGAAGTGGTTGTAGACATGCCAGAAACAAATATTGTGTCCTCTTGGACGATGAAGTCACCACTACGATCATTAGGGGGTCCTCCGCTACCTAGACAAAAAACAACAATTAACAAGTGCTATTGACATAACAAACATCAATGATAAAATAGAAAAACCAAGACAATCAGATACTTCTGTAAACCACGAAAATATGAATTTTATATTTTTGTACAATACACTATTGTATTAATTTAACAAAATGTCAACTTTATTAAAAACTTATCTTCAAAAATGTATGAAAACAAAATAACTTCCCATAATTGTCGAGTTGCAAATAATTTAAATAATATTAAGCAATTGTAACAACACTTTTATGGATACTCAGATAATAGAAAATACTTTTATTATACAAACTGAAATGAAAAAACCATGGGACACACACCCCATTATATATTATATAAATATAGTATATAATATGTATTCCTAATATAAATATTAGGAATACAATTTTTTTTATTAACTACAAATCAATGAAACTGCATCAGACAATTTTAGTGGCGTGCATTATTGAGGCGCAGTTAACACATTTAACCAATACACACTCTACTATAAAGGACAATTTTTTCCTTAATATTAACACTGTTTAGTGGTAACCTATGTATAAAATAACCATTTAATATGCAAAAAATATTTCAACATCAACCTAAATGACAGATGAATCATATCCAAGAAACAAATAGCATTATTATTATAACAACATGATGTACTTCATTACAGACATAATAGATTCATAACTAACCAACCGACCTAACACCAATAATCTTGCTATATAAAAAAAACTAATTAAAATCAGTTTTCTAGATGTACCTATAAGCACATTAATTTGATACACTGTATCAATCCCAATAGTTGTATTTGTATATAACTTAATAATTTATTTATATTTCAAATAAGCTTTATAAAAGGTTAATTTTAAAATAAGTTAATATTATGGTTTTCAGCTAGGTATGTATTTATTTTTAAAACTGTCAAATGTATAGCAGTAATAATAGTCATGTAGTTAGTAACTTTTAAGAATGTAAATTGATTTTAATTTATATATTTTTATTACACATAAATATATATATATATATATATAATATTCTAAATCAATCACTAAGTAACCCTTTCACTGCTTAGGACATACTAATAAGTCCAAAACATTTACACCATTCACTGTAGCAGACGTACTATTACGTTCCTATAATTTATAATATTAAATACATACATAAAATTATTGTTTTATGTTTTAATAAACAGCGTTTTTGTATGTACCTAATTTACCACATATGTATGCGTAATATTCATTTGAATAATACAGACTTTACCGTATCTTGACAAAAACTACCACAACCAACAATGGTTGGAAACAAAGTGACATATTTATCATGTCATAATTTTAATTATATATTAAATAAATAGTGAAACTGCTAACCACCTTGCACGCCACTTGATTTAAAAAAGTGAATAAAATATCATAAATACCGTTCTCTAGTATATAAATGATGAAGAATTGCTAAATACAGGTTGGAAGTATTACCTTGACAAGATACCTAACTTATCTTGTTATCAGCTTTTGGGTATATATACTTATATAGTTAACAGACTTATTTGAGCGCCTATGAACCATTTACTTAAAATGTATAAAAAGCACCACTTGAATACGGTGCTATTTACCTTTGTTAAAACCACCCCTGCCGCCGGAACTAGAACAAAATCAACAAAACAAACACGATAACATTTATTGGTTGACAATTAAATTAATAATTTAAGAAAATAAAATACAGAGAATTATAATTATTTATAATGAGCATTAAATTAAACTATGATATAAAAACATAAAGTGTAAAATATTGAAGTATAAAACATTAAATAATTACATATTGTATAATATGAAAAGTAAGTACTAAATAATAATACCTCTTGTTTAAGAACGTATCTTTAATATTATATGAATTATCTAAAATATTAAAATTTATTTTAAGATATATGTATATTTAAAAAAAAAAAGAATAAAAATATTAATTATTATAATTTTAAACCTTATAATTTAGGGCTCTGAGGTTTCATTTGCATGTTTTTTTGTACTTTTAGTCCGTGTTTTTAGTTAATTAACTATAAATGTATATTTAACAAATTTAAATAATAATTAATTTGTGCATTTTTTTTAATGCAATTTTGGCTTTTTGAATTTCGTTTTTTTTTTTATATTTTGTACTTCATAAATTTGTAGAGCAATTTTACTAAGATTTATGAAATAAATACAATATAGAAAACAAAATTATATAACTTTTATAAGTTCATATAATATGTATTTTTAGCATAATAAGTATTTGAAAACTAAATTGTCTATGTACTAAAAATACAGTATAGTATAATAGTATAATATAGTATAGTGCAGTACGGGCCAAAAATTAACTCAGATGAAAAAATACACAATTACAATGTTCATCATACTTTTTAATTTAAATTTAATGTGATATAACATGATATTTGTAATTAATAATGTTAAATCATTTCTAGTTTGAAAAAAATTCTAAGTTTTTAATTAAATATAATTGGCAACTTAACATATAAATTACAATATTAAAATAATTAACTTTTATTTTGTATGTTTTGCATGGTAAAAACATTTTTTAATGCAATTCAATATATTTAGAATAATAACTTTCAAGTCTTTATTGACCCAATATCATATTACATAAGTTTCAACTTAATTTAAAAATCCGTATATTCTAGTATATAGTATATACTAATACCTAGTATTACACATAATATGATGTTTATTAATATATCTATAATATTCTATAGACAGTAATTACTTTCATAGTCACATAAAACCAAACATATTTAGCTAACAATTTAGTATTATACTACCTCCTAAATGTAAAAGGTTATTATTGTGTAACAAAATAAATAATACTGTTCTTATTTGTTCTTACCTACAAAACTACAACTCCATTATGTTTAATAATAATTAAACAAGACAATTTAAAAATATAAAATTATTTGATATTCATAAAATTATGAATACGTAATAACACCACCCAATCTACACCATCCAACTGAAAATTAAAAATAATGCCAACATAGTAATTATTCATTATAAACCATTTTTTAACTTTATTTTTTCAGGTTTATTAACGATGGGAATTAACAAAAAGATTAAACAAAATATATCTTTTCAAATATATTTATTTCTTCATTAAATAAAAATGTATAATAATGTAATCAAGAACCTCTAAATATATTCAATCAAAAATCTAAATAACTAATATATATTAACATGAATTAGTAAAGATCTCTTATAGGTACTAAAATATACATTGAAACTGCTAACCATATTTACTCAAAAATTATTCTGATGAAATAAGGGACTAACTACTGTAATAACCTAAACCAAAGATTACCAAATGATGTGTGACACAAATTCTTTAGGTGTGTAATTATTATATTTTTTATGTATGTTAAGAGGGTGCCACACCCTCTTACGAATGCGTAACATAGCAAGTTTAAGCTCAGAAGATCACGTATGACTCCATTAGTTTAAAAATTAGCGTGAATTGAACTATTATGAGACAACTTAATGGTAAGAACATTATCTGTGTTAGTATGTTAGTTTTTTTTACGATAGTTCAATTTTTTAGTAAGACATGCATATATAATATAGCGTAATATAAAAATAGTAATAACTCAATTATAAACAGAATAATCATAAAAAATCAAGTCGATTCACTAAATTATAAAACTAACTAAGCTAAACATGATCTGCTGAGCTTACATCCGATATGTTACACGCTTGTAAACAGAGACAACAAATGCGGGTGTGGCGTCCTCTTAATATAATATTTCATGATATCATTTTACATTAATTTGGAGATATTGGTTATTAGTTAGAACTTAATGTTACCTTAGGTAAATTGTTAAACATAATATATTAAAATTAAAAACTGTAATAAAATAAAATAAATAAGCTAATACATTAAATGTATAGTTTTAAAAATTGAAATTGTTGTAATATACATTCATTGTTATTTCTGTTTGTTGAAATTATTCAAATTAATGACAAACTTTGCTTTATTATTAATCATGAATAAAAAAGAATATATATATATATATAAAGTGTGTTTCACTCAAATGGTAACACAAAATATTTCCATTCAATGAACTTGGATTGAATTGGAGTTTTTTCGAGGAGCTAGAGAAAACTAAAATACACATTTTGTGATCATTTTCAAATTTTTAATTCTTTTATTATGCACATTCGCAGTAAAACTTCCATTTTTTTTTGCCATTTCATGGCACAATAAAAGAATTAAAAATTCGAAAATGATCAAAAAATGTGTATTTTAGTATTCCCTAGCTCCTCGAAAAAAACCCATTCAATAAAAGGTTACTGAACGGAAATATTTCGTGTTAGCATTTGAGTGAAACATACTGTATTTATTTCTACAAATGTGCCTTAAAATTCTATAACACCAAATGTTGTTAAGTAAAAAAGGTTGGGAATACCTGTCGTAAACCATAGCTAAATAATATAACATTATGATATAATTTAGTGTTTGTTTATTCATGCAGTGAAACTTCAATATGATTTTCTATTGAGCAAAATGTTGTTTAGAAATTATGACCTCATATTTGTATTATACAAATTTCTTTAGGTATATTACAAAATACGTTTTCTCTTCACCACTTTGTTATCTGAGAGGTTACTTTGAATAACAAATTACTTTATTTAATAATATATTCATTTATTTTTTTTCTGTACTAGAGTAAACCAAACCCAATTTACTTATACATAACAAATTCAACTAAAGTCTTAAATATGTACTTTATTTAGATGTTATAGTGCCGTAAAGATAGCTACTACTATCGAAGTTCTAAACATGACAATAAAAAGGTATTACATTACTATAAGAGGAGATAAGATAACCTATATGTAAAAATTGTAGTAGATAGAAAAAATACCCATAGATATTATAATAACGATGAATATAATATCGTCAAATATATAACATATACAGTAATAGCCATTTAATGCATATTACAAAAACTCGAAAATCAAAGATAAATTGAACATAGCATAAAAATTATCACATGTGATAATGTGGTAATAATCACATTATTATTTATATATTATTTTTTACAGAGACTATACTCTGTTCCATAGAAGAATAACCTCAGATTTCTGCGCACAGAGGCAGCAGTGGATGTAGTGTAGAGCTCTGCGCTCTGGATAGCTTCATTTTATTATTTTATCAACAGCCTAACTTGAATTTTATTAAGACTAACAAGGTAAAGCAGTTTTTTGGCCATAACTGATTATTGAGAAAAAAAATTGATAAAAACCAATTTAATTGATTGGTGTGGTCAGACAAAAATCAGCTGCCACGTGAGGTTACTCTTATTAGAGAATAATATACATGTAATGAATATTTAAGTTTTCAAGTATTTATAAGTATCAAATTGTGGCCTACTTATGTACTAACTAAAATTGGTTTAAAATATTAATATTCTGTAAAGTTAATCCAATACATAATACATATTATATCAATAAAAAAAACTAAAAATAACACTATATCATAACATGTTGTCTTAAGTACACCATTCAACAGACGGAATTCTACATCCATGATTTTACTATCTACTATTGTTTCAACGTTATTTAGAGTTCATACATAAAAATACTAATCATAATTTTTTAAATGAAACCTAAAATAACTATGTACGCATACACAGTCATATTGTACAATTTAATCAATTTTTTAAAATAGAAGAACTGCCCGTGCAGTTAAATATAAATAGATATTCTATAAAACTTTTTGGAATTTGGTTACCTACGGCCACTTTTATTAGTTTGTTATTTATGTTATTTACTATTGAAATACAATAAACTAAATACCATTGAATTAAAAATTATTAACATTTTAGTTTTTTAACATTCACAAAATATATAACAACCTACAAATGGTTAAAATAAATTGTTAGGAAGTCTTATTTTTGGAAACCATTAGACAATTTTATATGAACCAAACAATAAAAATAATAACCAGTACCTAAAATTTTGACCAAAAACTTAATGGATAATACATTTTATTATTGTAATTACATATATTGTAGTGGCGGCAGACTCTCAGAGTAGTTACTGGTACACCAATAGAAGAATACCATATTTTAGTGTTGATATTTATTTTTATAAAAAATATGTGATGGGATAAATATTTAATTGTAGGATTGAATAAAACCTTAAAAGGACATCACACCCGCATGTGTTTTCTCCGTCTTACACACATACAATATAGACAAAACATGTTTACGCAGTCTGAGTATAAATTACACATTTTTGGTCCTAGAGTAAAAATACCTATTATAAAATTGAATTGTGACAATATTTCTGAGGACAAGTTGTTGCGTTTTTTCCATTGCTAACTTACTTTCATTATATTGTTTAGAAATATCAACATTTTTAAAATACCTAACTTTTCAAAATTTAAATTTAAAAAAAAAAATTCAACGTCTTGCCCTCCAAAATATTGTTATCATTTTAATTGTATAATAGGTATTTTTTAACACCTTTTATAAAACACCAAAATTGAGCGAGTTCCACTCAGACTGCGTAAACGAGTTTAGCCTATGTCGTACATGTGCAAGACGGAGACAACACATGACGTGGATGTATTGTCCTCTTAATCTATAGACTTAAATTAAACTATTTGAAAGTTTAAATTCAATTTGAAATCCACAAAAAATGAAAACTGCAAACTACTCAAGAGCATAATATTGAAGTTTTAGCTTTTGATATCAGACATTTTTTTTCAACATAATTATATTGAAACAGAAACACCCATTAAGAAACAGCTTTTTAAGTTTATTAACTTAACAAAATAAAAATAATTTATTATAAGTGGGTCACCTTATTATCCAACAGAACATAGTGTCCACAATTTGGATTAAATAATACCATGGTTTGATTACAAATAAGTCAAAACCAACCATGTATATTGAATATACACCACAATAAACAAAAATAATCATCTGAATGAACGAACCTAGTCTTAGGTTTTTAAATATAAATTTAGAACACCTTATATCTATGTTGTGTCCATCCATTAGTTACCAGTATACAATTACGATTGTTGATATCAAAATATGTATTTATTGTCCATAGCTAATGTACATAAATTATACATAGAATTATAGTTTATTGTGTTTTATTAAAATATGTTTAGAAACCGAGGCTTTAGTAAACTCACAAAGTGAGCTTCCCTAATTTGTTATTTTAATTAAATTGCTTAAAAAAATGTATGTTTTAAAAATGCATAAGTGAAACAATAGTTAAAAATATGTAATTATTATTATTAACATCTGAAATAAATTTCAAGAGCTTGTATAGCTCTACACCAGTTTGTATTGCTTAACAAAGATACTTAAATATAATTTTGTTAAATACATATATTGTTTAAGCGGACACTACACCTGCATGTGTTGTCTGTGTTATACAAATGTACATACCGGATTATTCTAGTTTATTTATAGTTAATGTTAGAACTTCTGAGCCCAAGCGTAGTTTTTTTTATACTTTTATTTTAAAATAAGTAATATGAATTTGGAAAAATGAAATATTTCAAATAAGTCATATCATTTTTAAATTATCCCATGAAAAATAATTCCACACTCCAGCTAGTTAATATAATATCATCTAATAGATACAATGAAATGTAAATTTGAGCAAATATTAACTATAGATAAACTAAATTAATAACTTGGGACACAAAATATTATTTATTGTAAATGTGTAAGACAGAGATAATTCACGAGTCTAGTGTCCTCTTAAGCCATTATTATAAGAGAGCAGATTTTTATGCACTAAACTGTATCAAAATATGCCATATAATATGAAGTTAAAATCGTAAATATATGCATAGCAAAAAAATTTAAATTGTGTAATATGGTAACAAAATGTGAATGTTTTTTTTGATAGTTATTATTAGTTTTTTTTTTTTTTTGAATTTTATACTTAATATAATTTCATACATTTTTTATAAAAAAAACTTTAGCCCCAATATGCAACAAAAAATGACCGTATGCTTCAAACTATTGTGATTTGTAAAGATTACTGACGAAAATCCAAGTGTGAAAATGAAAAAATATACAATTGCATAAAAATCTGCACTCTAATTATTATTATACCCTATTCAACAGTACTAGAAAAATCAAAATATTTTTGTAAATATCAAATTATACATATATTTGCCCATCAATAGTTGATATTTTTATAACAGTTAATAAAATATTCAACACCATTTAATAAAATAATTTTAAGTTTGAATTTTAAACCCAACTCCAGAAATTTAACATTGTAACAAAATAAACCCTAAATATAATTCTTTTAATACTACAGGCATTGTATATTTTTATTTAATAAATGCTCAAAACAAGTTCAATAATACCTCAGATATTTTACCACAACTATTCAGTTATTAATATATTCAATAAATTACTATAATAAAATAAAAAAAAAAGTTTATAATACTTTTTCAAAGAAACTTGAGTATTGTGTTAGCTTTTATTATCCAACAGTATAAAAATGCCATATAATAATATAAATATGGTAAATATTTATTTAACGAAGCATAAATATGTAATGTACAATTACATAATTTGCTTTTGTAGTTAGTACCTTCATAATATATTATATTGCCATGTCAATGCACATGACAACCTTATTGAATACATATCTAATATTATATTTGTGATAAAATAACTGTACTCTATCTTATCTTAATAACTGTTTTTGTTGCATTCAAACATATCATTTTGACTTATATATTAACAAATGTACTTACTCGTATCCTCCGCTGCTGCTGCTACGTTCTTGTCTACCACCTTAAAAAAATTAAAATAACTACATTAATAACTATAGAGAAGTGCTGATTGAATAAAATGAAACAAGTGGTAAAAATTAATGATAAATACTTGTTTAAAATCAAACAATTACCTCCAAAACTGCTAGGTCCGCCATATCCACCACTTGATGGTGGACCACCATAACCATTTCCACCGCTTGATCCATTAAATGATCCTTGTTGGCTTCCTTGCTGTCTAAAACTAGGTGGAGGTTGTTCATAAGCAGGGTATCCGCCTCCTATTTTGTCAAGTTAGGAAAAATTAATGAAATTAGCTAACAAAGTTTGAAAAATAATTTATAATGGTTATGTAACACTGATAATAGTTCAAAACAAATTAGTTTTATTCTCAAAATGATAGAAATCCACAAAAAAGTTATTACAATATATTTAATTTTAGAAATCACTGAAAATGTATTCTAATCTGTTTGCAGAACTACGTACATATAATTTAAAAAGGGTTATGGCGATTATAAAACACTGCAATATATATGTAAATAAGTTATGGACATTTGATTGTATGTGTTATGTGGATATTAATACTAGTTATTCACCTTGACTTGCCGCTGTTGGCGGTGGTGGAGGTTGGTTCCATCCACCGCTACCTGGGTATCCACTTTGTGGTTGTTGAGTTTGTTGTGGCTGTGGTGCCCCAGCTTGTTGATAACCTGGTGGTCCCGGGGGAGGAACACCATATGCTGGATATCCACCGTATCCGCCAGCTACACCGCCACCACCTCCGCCACCTCCGTACTGACCAGTTGAGTACTCTAAAATAAAAATAAAATGAGTTATTTTGTTAGCTCAAGCATTGACTAGTATAAAATGTGAATCAAAGTTAAGTTGCACTTGGCCAGACTCATAATTGTATCAAATGTGTCATAAAATTGAATTGAATACACAGTCAAAACTTGACAGCGGTAATAATATGAGAATAGTCAGATCTCAAACAGAAACTAGTTAACCTTTTTGGTTGTACTTAATCAAAGAAACCATGGGGAGTATAACGCCCAAAACGAACGCGCAAACAAATTTGCGATTAATAAATGTATGGCTCAAGGAGAAACGATATTCAAATAATACCACAGTAGATTAGCGCGACTTCGCAATCATGTAGAATAGGCGGATGTGAATATATGCAATAGTACATTATAGTAATACGCAGAATAGATTAGGAATTTCGCAAGTGCGTAGTTAGGTCGATGGCCACATAGACCGCATCCGTTAGATCCGAGATACAGTATCGCTAGGCAAGGGGAGCGGGAACCGGACTATAAGAGGGACCTCGAAACAGCCTGTATTCAGACGTGTCCACTCATCGCTACTGCAAGCAACTTCACGAGACTCTGTGTAGCGATTGTTATTTGGACTTAGCACCATTTATCATTGTGTTTTAGTTATTCAACTACTACCTCATTGTCATAACAAAACGGTCTAGCTACCAGCAACGTTGATATACAAGTAGTCATCTGAACTACCAGTATATTACACAACTATAGTATAGTGTTCTGACAACCCAGAGACAAATCGCCTCCCCTTAAGCTCTATGATCGACCTTTACACACTACATTTCGCCATATTGTAACGACAGTGGCGAGTCACCGAGTCACAATTTTAAAGCGTTCTGTCGACATTTTGAAAACGGCATCCGCCATAGACACGCGGTGGCGGGCTCGGTGGACGGGACGCGGCGGTCCTCGTGTGATTGCCAGAACAAGCCGGCCGGCCGGCCCGCCATCGCTCGAACACGGGCGACCGGCCGAACAAAACGGGTGCAGGGCGCTATGCGGTGCGCGCGGCCATACTTACGTGGATTTGCCATGTCTTCGTTGCCGATGCGCGAGATTCTGTTTTTTCGGGCACTACAACTACTGTCTTCAATCACCCGCCGGGTGATCTAAACGCGATCGAATGTGCAAGCAGCACGGCACACGGTCTTGATGGCGAATGAGTATCGGAACAGTTAGGATGTCCGCTCGGGCCCACAAGTCACGAGTCACGACACAAAGCGACGGCGATTGAAGTAATTAAGTAAATAATAATATTTTAGACACTACGTTTCCCTCGCCGGCGGTCAGTACTCAGTATTCAGTAATGTACATACTGCGACGAGATGAAATATGAATTTAGAAATGTTGTGGCGGGGAGTGGATAGGCACCGGACTCAAGCATCATAGCACAAAATGGCGTTTGTTTATAGCGTCGTCGGCGCGGACTCGTGAGACGCCCAGGCTGTGCGGGATGTTTCACGTTACGTACCGCGGTAGCACTGCGACGGATAAACGTTTTTTTTTTATATTATTCTGTATTTCTGTCACGGGCACGATTAAAGATATAATTTGAACTTTAAATAGGTACTTATAAAAAAAAACCGTGTAGGTACCTAGGTATATGGATTTTTTATGTTTACCAACTGCTATTATAAACACTTACAGGGAACCTATTGCATTACATTTTCAAGCTTTTAGACCCAACGAATACAATTTTATTCACATTTATAGAATAAAAAACTAAACATTTTCAAATTTCAAATGTCTACAAATATAACTTAAAACGAATAAAAAATTTAAAAAATGTCATCATGTAGATATAAAATGATAAAATAAACTTTTGATGAAAATTTAAAGTACTTACGGTTAATAGTTTTTTGAATAACAACAAAATAAGAAAATCGTTCAATCGTTGTTAAGAGAATTTGACTAACTTCAAACACTAGGAAAAAATTAATTTCACTTTCCTAAAAACTTTATTTTGCTGTTAAATGTAGGAAAACCTAAGGGGAATCTTGTATAAAAGTTTCAAATCTTTGACATACATGTATATTGTAATCTTATTCGATTTGGGTTTCGATATTTGGTTAAAAATTATAAGATATGAAAACATTTCAGGGGGGGTCCAGACTCCCTGGACCTCCCCCCTCAGATACGACCTTGATCATAATAGGCTAAGAATGGGAACTATATGGAAAGCTGGAATTTTGTTTAGCCCTCCATTCCATGCATTTTTAGAATATAATAATATGTTGTGTACCCGAAACATAATAATAGCTATAAAACCCCTGTATAAATACATCATCACCCTACTATTATGAACACTCGGTAAAAATTTAAAGTTTATCTACGGTTTTTCGTTTTTGAATTACGAAGATATAAGATAATCGTTCAATGAGAAATCGAGTGTACACCCAATTTCGTAAATATTTGAACATAGAAAATTAATTTTCAAAATCTGAAATTTTCCACCAAAAAAGTAACTATAATATATAAAGATGGCCGTATATCATTTGCGCATCGTCTGTTTACCTGTGTGAAAATATAGTACATCGTTTGCGCATCTAACCTGCACCAAATTACCGTACATCATAATATGAGCATCAAAATTCTGAACAATAGAAAGGTATAATAATAATTGTACACACATATAATATCATATAGATAATGAATAATTTAATATACATAGGCACAAGTTTTTGTTCAATAAGCATTTAAAGTTCAAATGTTGACAAAATTTATCAAAAGCTCAAAAATTTGCAAATTATAATTTGCATTAAATATATTTTATAGTAAAAAATGTAATACTCGGTTCAATTGGGCACATTACATGGTCATAGTTATAGTAAAAAATATACCCATAACATATAGGTAGTTTGAGTAAAAATGAATTCAACTAAATTGTGTTCAGTTTATTTAGGATTGAATTGTATGATTAAAGTTAGAAAACAACGCGCTTTTGGGTATACACCCTTTTTTCAGTACTATTATTAAATAATATTGATGCGCAAATGATGTACAACCTTTTAAACGATCGATGCGCAAACGCGCTATGTATAACCCAAAAATCAAACGATGCGCAACTGTCTTACAAAAAAAGGTCAAAAATAAGTAATAACAATAACGACAACAGGTGATAAAGATGAGGTCCAATACCTTTATGCTATCTACTGTAAATATTTTATCTACCATAATTTTATGATATCTACAGGAAATTTTGTATCATACCTATACCTTTATCATTTTGCAATTAAGATTAAGTAGGTATTTATCGAAATCCCAAATTGTATTATATTTATACATTTATCATAAAGATACAAACGAAGAGGATTGATTGAACTGATTGAAGTGATGAGTATATAGAGTCTTAAATCAAATTTGGTGTCGTTGATTAAATATGGGTTATCTATGTACCTTTGTACAATTAAAGGTATGTTCTTTGGTATTTGAGCCCATTTTGATATAACACGAATTCCAGATCCTCTAGCAGATGCTGGCTATAAATAAAATAAAAATTCTAGATATTAGTTTAATCATTTTCACCAAGGATTCATTTTCATAATAAATATAAACCCAAAATGTTCTTTGCCATATTTTAACATTAACCGTTGCAAATTTTTCCACAACCTATCTTTACGACCAATTTCAAAAGTACCTGGAAAATGGTTCAGTTTTTGCTGTTCCCAAAGTGTCTTGAAACAAAATGATTTCATACGTTTATCCCAAGTTCCCACCCAATCATTTGATTCTTAAAAATAATAGTAATAAAAACAAACATTAATTATTGTTATTGACATTTAGGTAGGATAATACAAAAGAAAAAAGTACAGATATACTCACCGGATTTAGGTAACATCATTAATTCGTTAGGTGGAGGAACTACACTGTCAACAATAGGAAGTGTAACACCTGAACGATCAGTTTTTTTTTAACTTTAAGTTCACTTTTAACGAGTTTAAAACCACTATTTTGAACTGTTTGACTTACAACAATTGGAGTAACAGAACTTATTTTCCACTTTAATAACTTTTGCAAAGGCAATGGAAATGATTCACCTGTAATAATAATTACTATCGAAAAATGAATAATTTTCAACCAAGTATTAAATAAAATCGTTAGTAATTACCTTTAATATTATGTGATGAAAATCTTATATATGGTGGAATATAAGAAAATAAACTACGTCTTAGGGCTGAATGATATTCAAAATTTTCTTTCCAAGGGCAAAAACAATTTTCTGGTGTTCCATCGTGTTCAGAATTAATGGCCATTTCTACTAGTTTAATGCCTACCTAGTTTAATCAATGTATTATATCAGACAATTTTAAAACTGTCTACTTAGATCCAATACTCTTTCAAAAAATTTAATTTAAATCTATTCATAAGTTCAAACATGTTCAAACTGTTTAAAATGTAGTTGGTTTAGACGTTTAGTTCAGACATAAATAGGTAGTATTATTATATATGTACTCTGTACAGCGAGATAACATGCCATCGCCCAACGAAAATCGGTTCTTCTGAGCATACACACTCTACTATCTGCCATAGTAAAACCGGTATCGATGGAAAGATGTCACATGGGGATACGTAGATGGCTAGATGTCGATGAATTTAAGATCAATAAAAAAAAAAAAACTCTGTCATACAAAAAATTGATAATATTATGCTGTGGTGGCTAGTACATAAAAAATAAATATAATATTATGTGTAATATAATAATAGGTTAGCCGTTAGGTTAGGTTAACTGCTGGCTACAAATATTATTATTATTATAATAGGAAGCTGGTGACTAGTATATTGTTTATTGTTGACAAAGATTATTATTATACACTGTGTGAATGTTTAATCGAATAGATTTAGTTTATTTATATTGTAATATTTCGACAGTGAATATTGTTTTAATAATTGTATCCAATAAGTCTTTAACTTTTTTGAATTTTGGTATTTATATATAGTGTTTAAAGTAAAGTAATGTTTTCAATTAATTTAATTATTTTTCCTCGACTTAAAATAGCTGTCAACAGTCTAACACAGTACTTAGCACACTAAGCACACTAAGTTTCACATGTGAAGTGATTTCGTCAACCAATTAAGATGTGGCTGCAGGTCGTAGTTATGCTAAGTTATAGTTGCAGTTAGTTTCTGTTTTACCTGCGTTAATATTACTTATAAATAATTATTTAAAATAAGGTAATTATTTATAGGTACCAATGCAGACTCTAAAAAATTTAAAATATTTTAAACATTATAATATCAGGTCTATAAAAAATGTATGTAGGTACTTTAAGTATTTGATTATGATTTTAATTACAACAAAAATATGAAGGTAAATTTAATTCAAAACTGGTGTTGTGTAAATATTTCTGTTTCACCGCTGTTTTTTGTTGCCTAGTTGTTACCTATTATTTGCAATAGTTAAATAGATAGGTATAACTTATATTTATAAAATATATTTTAACCTTGTTTTGAACTTTTAGTTCTTATATTATCTATAAAAGTTGAACATTATATACATTTTTAAATACAAAATAATTTGATTATGTTTGAGCGATTATGATGGATTTTGTCAAAATTTGAATTTAAAATGCTTATGAAAAAATGTATGCCTTTAATCTTTATATGTTCATTCATTTTGAACTTCTGATATGGGTAAATTTTCAAGATTTTGATTCAGCAAAAAAAATTATTTAACGACCACAATTTAAAAAAAAGGTTTAATATCAAGTTTAATGTAAGTATTTAAATAAATTCCATATAACTTGAAAGTGTTTGTATGTAATTAATGATAGTCTAATTAATACACAAATTTAAAAAGATCTTTAATGTTCTGTCATTTTTTTACCATTCAGAATTTTTTCACTCTGAAAACACTGAACTGTAGGTGATTGTATGTAGATAATTGTATGCACTTCCCCTATGATACAATTAAAGCATTTTTACTATTTTTCAGACACCAAAAACGCACTTACCCCACTGCTTGGGGTAAGTGTGACACTTCAAAATTTAAAAAAAAAAATAAAAAAAAAAAATATAAAAACTGTTGGAAATTAAA